AAGTGGAGTGTTTGTTCAGCTGATTGTACGGAGTGGAGTGTTTGTTCTGTCGTGAGGTGATTGTGTTTTGTTCTGTCGTGTGGTGATTGTACGGAGTGGAGTGTTTGTTCTGTCGTGTGGTGATGTGTTTACTGATTGTACGGAGTGGAATGTTTGTTCTGTCGTGTGGTGATGTGTTCACTGTTTGTACGGAGTGGAGTGTTTGTTCTATCGTGAAGTGTTTGTTCTGTTGTTTGGTGATTTGTGTTGTACGGGAGTGGAGTCTTTGTTCTGTCTTGGGTGATTTGTTCACTGTTTGTACGTTTGTTCTGTCGTGGAGTGATTGTTTACTGATCGTGGAGTGTTTTGTTCTGTCGTGTGGTGATGTGTTTTACTGATTGTACGGAGTGGAGTCTTTGTTCTGTCGTGTGGTGATGTGTTTACTGATTGTACGGAGTGGAGTGTTTGTTCTGTCGTGTGGTGATGTGTTTACTGATTGTACGGAGTGGAGTGTTTGTTCTATCGTGTGGGTGATGATTTGTTCACTGATTGTACGGAGTGGAGTGTTTGTTCTGTCGTGTGGTGATTAGTTCACTGAGTGTACGGAGTGGAGTGTTTGTTCTGTCTTGTGGTGATGTGTTTACTGTTGTACCGAGTGAAGTGTTTGTTCTGTCGTGTGGTGATGTGTTTACTGATTGTACGGAGTGGAGCGTCTGTTCTGTCGTGTGGTGATTTGTTCAATGATTGTACGGAGTGGAGTGTTTGTTCTGTCGTGTGGTTATTTGTTTACTGATTGTACGGAGTTGGTGTTTGTTCTGTTGTGTGGTGATGTGTTTACAGATTGTACGGAGTGGAGCGTCTGTTCTGTCGTATGGTTGTTTGATGTTTACTGATTGTACCGAGTGGAGCGTCTGTTCTGTTGTGTGGTGATTTGGTCACTGATTGTACGGAGTGGGGTGTTTGTTCAGTCGTGTGGTTATTTGTTCACTGATTGTACTGTGAAGAGTATCTGTTGTGCCACGGAGTGTTTGTGCTCATGTGAAGTGATTATTTTGTCATGCAGTCTCTACCTGAAGGCCCTGTGATAACAACTGTTTCCCTGTTGATACGCCTGCGTTGAGCAGATCCACTCAGGTTGTGTCCAACTGGTGTAGCAGGGAATGGCCGACAGCGGTGAAGAACGACCCGAGCTTGTTACCAACATTCTTGAAGAAGTCCGTAAACGCGTTTCCATGAATAGAGGACACAAGCATCAACAACGCGAAGACAGCTGCACCCTTCATCGTGAATAGGCTGTAAAATACAAACTCAATCACTGGGAAACAAACGATTATAAAATACGATTTCAAGAAGCCTTCAGAGATCACAGTAAATTGTTTTCTGACAAATTCAACTGAAAACACTGAACTGACTGAGGTGGTAGGGTAGCCTTGTGGTTAAAGCATTTTTGCTCGAATACCCGGGTTCGATTTCCTACGTGGGCACAATGTCTGAGGCTAATTCCGGTGTCCCCACTTTGATAATGCTGGAATATTCGCTAAAAAATAGTCACTCAGCGAACCGACCATCAGGTCTGTATTTTGTTTGGAGGAGGCCTGTTAATAGTCCAGTCTGGACCGGACAGTCGTGTGATTCATAGTATGGGAAATAATAATGACGTCAGGTAGGTTGACCCTTCACCAAACAAGGAACCTGATCACCAACCGATTCATTCCGGTGATCAGCATGGGTTCAGGCCAGTGTCCCCACGGTGGTCAGGCATGGGTTCAGGCCAGTGTCCCCACGGTGGTCAGCATGGGTTCAGGCCAACCGATTCACGGTGGTCAGCATGGGTTCATGCCAGTGTCCCCACGGTGATGCGGTTTCAGTCACGTCTGTAAAGTTACCCCTGAAGATCCGGGTTAGAATTGATCTTCAGTAACCCATGCTAACGGGATCGGGAGGTCAGGATCGCTGGCTTGGTTTACACACGTCATCCTAGCCCAATGGCGTAGATCGATACGCGTGCTGTTGATCACTGAATTGTCTGGTCCAGCCATATTTACAGACCTCTGTCATATAACTGGAGGTGAGTGACTTAAAATTTAACGTCACCTCTGCAACATTTCAGCCATATAGTGACGAGAAATGTTTAACATAAACAATAAATTTAAGTTGCTAAATAATCAGTCATCGAAGGACTGTATAATAACTAGAGGATCACAGATGTAGTCTAAAACTAGCATGAACATATTAAAAACTATTTTATTTACGAAGTTAAAACAATATAAAAAACGGGCTTTAGGTCGCCAACAACTGAAGGTAGATCACCACACTAGGGACCATAGGGACTTACAGTACATTTGCTACCTACATGGACCCTAGTTGGATTAACATCATGCCTTCAGCAGCCGGCGCTTGTAGTCAATTTAGCCATAATTAAAATCACACAAAGATTCTACGCTTAAAATTCTGGTAAGTTTTAAATTTACTTTGAGAGTGTTTGGACTTACGTACCCACATTACTGGAATATTGCTGGAGTGCAGCGTACAACTAAACTCACTCTCTCACCGTAGAGTTAATGTCCACAAAAAGGATGAATGCAGGGTTTCTAAAGAGCCATACTTAACACTTGAACCCTATCCTTCATGACAAAGGAATTAATGCACACATATTTAGTTTACATCAGGAAACATGGTCAGTACATACAAAACCGAAAGATAAAATATATTTGAAATTAGAGAACCATATTTGTAAATGTCAATGTCAAAGTCAGTGTCACGATTGTTGCAACAAGAAGCTTAACATCACATACAAATCGTCTACTTACATGACTGAAACCGACCTTAGATTCTCTGTAAGTTAGCACGCAGTTTATATCTCTGTTGAGCTGTGAAAGCAACATATGTTGTACTTGCGATCTGCGCGGTGCAACACGGTGACTTCAGTGTTTGTCATAGTGCGATAGATAACCTTCAGACAGACCCAGTGAAATCGCCGAAAAGAACTTTGGACCATTTTGGACACCTTGTGTCTATTTAGGACCTGATTTCAAAACTATCTGTGATCATGTGTGTCGCTTAGCCAATTTTATAGCCCAAACATATAAAACACGTGATATTGTTTGTGAATTTCAAATCATAAAGTCCAAATGTAAACGCCTTCTAATATTTATATGTTTTGAGACAGTGCATTTTGAAAAAAAATTCAGCAGCCTGATTCAAAATTAAAATTATAAGCATGGGACAAATTGGTGATTTTCATTAACATGATTTCAACTACTTTTGATGCACTTCAATGATGAATTTTGCGTATTGCTTAAATTTAATGCCATACATGTACTGGTAACTTTATCATTATTGGCATATTATCTAGAATACCGACGCCACTCAACCATGATTGTGTCAATCACGTGACGGGATTCCTAAGCAACGTTGAGACGGATTTACAGAGACAGACACGGATTTACACAGACAAGAGCATTGGGCTGTGGAATAGAACTAAGTGTTTAATGGTATCTGCCACCTGCCGAATATATCCGTAGAAATGCGCGAAAACGAAAATAAGATTATATAGAACTAAAATTAGTCAAATCGTAGTTTTTACTATTTCTCGCAATGGCGATCTGCCCGGAGCTGGATCCAGAGATTCCAGACAAAAGAACCATCGTTGAAAGATTCCAGATCAGTCCTGTAGTACCTCGATGGGCAGGACATTTAGTAAAAATTAGATTAAAAAGTACTGTTGGTGGCTATGAAGTAAGGCACTTTTGATATGGTTGGATCAAAGTTTCATTGGCATTATATAGTCCAATCCAACATCGAGGAAAACAGAAATGGGTATGAGTGATGGGTATGAGCGTGGCCAGTAGTCAGGTCGGAAGGGCGTACTCTTGTCAGACGAGGAGTTGTCGGAATCCATACATGTCTTTGTGTTTTGAACCAGGGTGTTGGGAAGCCACGTCGATAGGATTATGTTTCTGCACCCCCTCCCCCACCCACCATGGAGTGTCAACAGGGACGATCTTATATTGCAGCGGGTGTCCAAGCTGCAAAGACCGGAGACAAGAGGGTGTTATACTCTAGCAAGGTCGACACGAAAAGCTGTAGCTGTCTACCAGATCAAAAGGTCAGGATGGTTCGGCCCATGACAATCAATTGGAGACGTACAGGAATCGGGAGAAGTCAGCATCACCAGATTGGCCCATGAGCCACCGCTTTCAGTGCATAGGGATTTAAACCGATTTGCATTTTGACAGAAATTTACATTTTGAACATGCCGAAAGGGCATTTTACAATATCAACCTTATGTATAGTATATTTCATGCACAGGGCATGGCGTGACCAGCGGTTGGTAGAATCGGGCCTATTCTACCACCCGTCTAGGCAAAGTTAGGGTCGAAGTGGTGTGTTGGTTTAAAAACGCTATGGCCGGTTCCGTCATCCTCAACCCCCAGATTCCCTTCCTCTGCCGACACAGGGATGCAATGCGGTGCTGCAACGGGGTGCTGTGGACCTATTCGACCCCCAGGTCCACACGGGGTGTGAAGAGCCATTAGCGTTACCCAGCACCCACCACGAGGAGGTTGCTCTTCAAGGGTGAAGTAGGGGAGCGTTTTTGGGGTCCTAGTTCTGTTCTATTTTTGTCTTGGTTTTGGGGACATGTCAATGTCAGGTTCACCAACCAGAAGTATTTGGAAACGAAACAAATATATTGTGCCTGCAGTTCAGTTGGAGACATGCCACAGCCAACTGAATATGACAATAGTTGCCCTGTGCAAGAAATATGCTTTACAAAAATTTTACTTAATAAGTTGAGGAGTTAAGTTCGGTTTAACGTCACATCGGCATTATTCCAGCCATATAGTGACGAGACGATACACATTTTAAAATATGTACTAATATATATTGGACGATGGCTTGTCAAGAAATGTTTTAGCTTTAGCTGGGTTACCTGCTGTGCCGACATGACCCGGCAACCAGCAGAGGACGATATCACATTGGCCAGTAGAAATATCGTTGTAAAGTTCTAAAATGTCCAGGATGACAGGGTGACTTGAAGTAACATTTTTAGGTGCCTGTAGGCAAGAGAGCGTTAGCCTTAGCAGTGAAAATGAAGCTATTGCTTAGGATTCTGGAGGACATTACTGTGGCACTGGCAACTTGGCCATCGTCCTTGGATCGTCTGTACAAATGGATATATGGGTGTTATACTTGGAACGTAACTGGTTTCCTATTCTTGTACGAACATCAAAGGATTTGTATCAGACTTTTTGAGTTTGGTGAGAGTAAGATGCACCTGTGGATTCACCATCTGCCAGAAGCTGGCAAGGTGGTATGATATTGAAGATCAGTGTTAGCTGCAGATAAGTGGTGGTGGAACCAGGCTTGCCATATTAGTAAAACAGGTTTTCATAGAGGGTTGAAAACACAATTGTATGCTTGATTGGACTGATTTAAACGTAATTTAGTGATACACTGCAGTGAAAGTTTAATGCAACGTTGTTCAAGGGAAGGGTTCGTTAGCCTCTGCATATAGACTGTCTACCGGAGAGTCCTAAAAGCTCCCAGGCAGAGCCTTAGGCCTTGGTGGTGGATAGAATCTATTTTTTCTAAATTTGCTTTTGCAGGCTCCACCATAGACAATGGAGCCGTAGTCTAGTTTAGAGTGAATTTGAAACGACCTTTAGTAAGTCCAGAGCCTTCAAGCACTTGGTTTTCTAAATGTTTTATGTGTGAGTAAGAATGTCAGGTGACGGTCGAATATGAGTCCCAGGAATTTGGCCTCTTTACTACCTTGCTGGGAGTACTATCTAAAGACAGGTCTGGATCCTGCCAAACCTGGTTCCACAACTTGGAATCAGAATTCAACCACACATATCTGCAGCTAAAATTAATCTCAATATCATAGCACCTTACCGATTCCTGTCTTCGCCACCCTGGTAGATGGTGAAACCTCAGGTCGGCCTTACCCTCACTAAACTCAAAAGTCCGAAACAAATCCTTTGGTGTTCCAACAGGAATTACAAACAGTTACGTTCCAAGTATGACACCCATATATCCATTTTCGCAGAGAGGTCCAAGGATGATGGCCAAGTTGCCAGTGCTACAGTCATTGAATCCAAGACTGTCTGCTCTAGAATTCCCGACAACAGTTCAAGTTTTACTGCCGAGGCCAGAGCTATCTTCTCTCAGCTTTGACTCTACATTAAACAGCAGAATCATTCCCAAAACTTCATCACGTGTTTTACACACTCATTATCTTGCCTTCAAGCACTTCAAAATGTTACTTCAAGTCACCCAATCATCCTGGACATATTAAAACTTTACAACGACCTTTCTACTGGCCAATATGACATCGTCCTCTGCTGGTTGCCGGCATAGCAGGTAACACAAAAGCCGATGCTGCAGCTAAAGCAGCTCTTGACAAGCCCGTATCTCCACTGCTGATCCCGTACAGTGATTTCAAACCCACTATCAAAAGCTATACTCGGGACCTGATGCAAAGAGAGGTGGGACACCAAAGTAGGAAGAAATAAACTGTATGAACTGAAGCCAACAATTGGTTATACCTACTTGTGTTGTAAGTTGGCACCCCTTGAAGAGCAACCTCCTCGTGGTGGGTGCTGGGTAACGCCAATGGCTCTTCGCCCCCGTGTGGACCCGGGGTCGAATAGGTCCACAGCACCCCATTGCTGGTTGTAAGAGGCGACCAAATTGGGCAACCCGTTTGCCGTGGGTTGCATCCCCTGTGTCGGCAGAGGAAGGGAGTCTGGTGGTTGAGGATGACGGAACCGGCAATAGTGTTCAATAATCCAACACACCACTTCGACCCTAACTTTGCCTAGACGGGTGGTAGAATAGGCCCGATTCTACCAATCGGCTGGTCACGCCTTGCCCTGTGCATGGAATGTCTATACAAAACGTGGTATTACATAACACTTTGACCATGTTCAAAATGTTAACAAATATTCCACCAAAACAAACTAGCCTCGCAGACCCATGCACAGAAGGCGGTGGCTCATGGGCCAATCTGGTGATGCTGACCTCCGATTTCTGTACGTCTCCAATTGATTGTCATGGACAGAACCATCCTGACCTTTAATCTGGTAGGCAGCTACAGCATTTCATGTCAAATTCGCTGGAGTATAACACCCCCTTATCCCTGGTCTTTGCAGCTTGGAGACCCGCTGCAGTATAAGATCGTCCTTGTTGACACTCCACGGTGGGTGGGGAGAGGGGATGCTGAACCACATTACTAACGACATGGCTTCTCAATACCCCGGTTCAAAACGAAGACATATGGATGATGACAACTCCTCGTCTGACGAGAGTACGCCCCTCCGACCTGACTACTGGCCACGTTTCCTGATCATTGAGGCTTGTGACAAGCAACCTTTGCAATTGAATCCTTTGCAATCTCCAAAGGTATCGCTGGTATCTGCGGAGAGGTTGCCAATGTTACAAAGTCTGATCTGGCTCTCCTGATAGAATGTACCCGGAAACACCAATCCTTGAATCTCCTCAAAATAAAAGAATTTGTCAATATCAAGGTCGCTGTCTCAGCACACAAAACCCTTTAACTCGTGTAGAGGCATTGTACGGGACAGAGCTCGATGCCTGTCTGACATGACTGAAGAACAAATTGTCAAGGAACTCTCTCAGCAATCCGTCACAGCCGTCAAACGATTCACCTTCAAAAAGGATGGTGTTGTTCAACCAACGAACACCTATCTCTTCACATTCGCGCGAGCAAACATCCCTGACTCGATTAAAGCTGGTTATTGTAGCATTGGTGTGGAGGTGTATGTCCCCAATCCACCCGGTGCTACAACTGCCAAAAGTTTGGACATGGATCCAAGTCCTGTCGTTCCTCTGCTGTTTGTTACCGCTGTGGTGACAAGCATGAGGGCAACGACTGTACTAAGGAAGTGAAGTGCACAAACTGCGGTGGTAAATCCATATGGCCTCTTCCAAGTTCTGTCCAGTGTGGAAACGCGAATCCGAGATACTAAAGATCAAGCACAAAGAAAATATCTCCTTTCACGAAGCAAAGAAGAGGGTTGCAAGTTTAACTGCAGCCCCTTCAACCATCACCTACTCTTCTGCTGTCTCCCGTCCTACTATCACTACTGCAACCATCTCATGTCAGACCGACCTGACATGGATCATGTCTTCTCAACCAACTGAACTCAACACAACTGAGCCCATCTCAGCAACTCCACCTCCAACGCCCAAAGTCAAAACCTCTGAATCACAAACACCAGAGCAAATGCCAAAACCAGAGACAGAAACTGCGCGCAGAAAAAGGGAAAAAAAGAGGCTAGAGAGACTAAAGCAACTCGAACAACCGCCAAACACAAAACCAAAGGCCACCTCTCCCTCAGAGGCCCCCATCGAGGTCCATAACTCCTTTGGCCCTCTGGATATGGAGGTAACTCCATCTCCACCAGACACCAATAGGAGTTCATCAAACGCTTTCTCACGTTCACGTGACATGTCACCAGTGGAAGCACCATGAATCCACAAAAACATGATCCAATGGAATTGCAGAGGACTTAAGAATAATTATAATGAATTACAGTTATTGATTCAAGACTTCAAACCATCTGCGTTTTGTCTCCAAGAAACCTACCTAAAAGGACTGATAAATTTGACATCCGTCGGTACAGTTCCTACCACTCCTTTTCTCCTCCCGGTGTAAAAGCTACAGGAGGCACTTCTATCCTGGTGAGGCAGGGCATCCTCCATAGCCCTGTTCCACTTAACACCAACCTACAAACTGTTGCTGTCCGCATAACTCTGAACATAGGGTTTACACTATGTTCCTCTATCTCCCTCCCACCTCAACTGTCCGCCTATCAGATCTTCAGAACTTATACGATCAACTCCCAAAGCCCTGCATAATCATGGGTGACTTCAATCGGCCATAACCCCTATGGGGAGTAATGATACAAATAGTAAGGGAAAGATCCTTGAAGAGTTTCTCTCCAATAATGATGTATGCATCTTCAACGATGGATCAAACACCTACCTCCATCCTGCCACTGGATCATACTCTGCTCTCGATCTATCACTTACAGATTCTAATCTTTTAAATGAGTTTGAATGGTCGGTCCATGACGACCTTTGTGGAAGCGACCACTTCCCAACAATTCTTACTCCTATCAACCCCACGGATGAACCACCATCAACAAGATGGAATTTTACTAAGGCCAATTGGCCTTTATTCCAAACCCTATGTTCAGAAAAACTTAAGCCGGACAACTTCAGGAATGTTCCTGACCCCATGGAACTATTTTCAGACGTCCTAAATGCCATCGGAGACAAAAAGTATTCCTAAGTCCTCTGCAAACCCGCACATACGCAAACCATGGTTTGATACAAACTGCAAACAAGCTAGGAAAAATAGGAAGAAGGCGGAAAAATATTTCCGACAACATCCTACAGTGCATAACCTGAATGCTGTTAAAATGACAAATGCCAGGGCAAAACGTACCTTCAAACAAACTAAACGCCGCTCATGGAGGAAATATGTGTCCAAAATCAACTCCCTGCACACCCATGTCCAAGGTGTGGAACATGATTCAAAAGATCAAGGGCAAGGGTCAAAATCAGGAGTTCACCACCTGAAAGATGGTGACTCCCTTCTAACAAATAAATCTGAAATTGCAAAACAAACTTGGCGAAACTTTGGCAAACCACTCCTCCTCATCAAATTATAACCCTCAGTTCCAGAAATATCAAACCCAACAAGAAAAGAAACCAGTCAATTTTAACTCTGATAATGGGGAGATTACAACGAAACGTTTTCCTCCATGAATTACGTACTGCCCTAGGACAGGCTCACGACACTGCGGCAGGAGCTGATGAAATCCATTATCAGCTTCTGAAACACCTCCCCTGACATAGGCTTGGAAACACTCCTAAATATATTTGATGACATCTGGACATCCGGACACTTCCCCCCTTCGTGGCACAATGCCATCATCATCCCTATACCAAAACCCGGTCGCGACCATACTGATCCCTCAAACTACCGTCCTATATC